GGGAAAACTGGACAGCTATATGTGAAAATTAAGATAGACCACTATCTCACACTATATATAAAACTAAACTCAACATGTATGAAAGACTTGAATATAAGGCCTGAAATTTAAAACTCCTAGAAGAAAACATAGGCAGTAAGATCCCTAACATTGGTTTTAGCAATATTTTTTGGATTAGATTCCAAAGGCAAGAGAAACAGCAAGGGAAATAAAAGCAAAAGGAAACAAGTGGGGGGAAAAAGTAAACAAGTGAGACTACTTCAAACTAAAAAGCTACTGCACAGTGAAGGAAACCATCAATAAAACAAAAATGTAATCTACTGAAGGGGAGAAGTTGTTTGTAAATCATATATGTAATAGGGATTAGTATCCAAAATACATGAAGAACTCATATAACTCAATAATAATAAAAAAGAAATCACATTAGAAACTGGTCAAAGGGGGGCACCTGGGTGGCTCACCCGGTTAAGTGTCTGACTGCGGACACTTCAGGTCATGATCTCACAGTTTGTGGGTTTGAGCCCCGCATTGGGCTCTGTGCTGATAACTCAGAGCCTGGAGCCTGCTTCAGATTCTGTGTCTCCTTCTCTCTCTCTGCCCATGCCCCACTCATGTTCTCGCTCTCTCTCTCTCAAAAATAAATAAAAATTTTTAAAAAACTGGTCAAAGATCTGAATAAGTATTTTTCCAAAGAAAACATACTGATAGCCAGTAGGCATATGAAAAACTGCTTAACATCACTAAGCACCAGAGAAATATAAATCAAAACCAGAATGAGATATCACTGTACACCTGGAAGTATAACTATTATCAAAAAGACAAAAAATAACAAGTATTGGCAAGGATATGGTTAAAAAAAAAAAAAAAGGAACACTTGTGCATAGTTAGTGGAAATGTAAATTGGTGCAGCCACTATGGAAAACACTATGGAGGTTCCTCTTAAAAATGAAACTACCATATGATCCAGCAATTCCACTACTGGTTATCTACTTGAAGAAAATGAAAACACTAATTTGAAAAGATATGTTCATTGCACCATTATTTACAATAGGCAGGGTACAGAAACAACCTAAGTATTCATCAATGGATGACCAGATAAAGAAGCTGTAATTACACACACACACAGATATACTAGTCAGCCATAAAAAAGAATCAAATCCTGCCATTTGTGACAATATGGATGGATCTTGAGGGCATTATGCTAAGGGAAATAAGTCCAAGACAAATGCTGTATGCTTTGATTTATATGTGGAATCTAAAAATGATACCAAGACTCATAGAGACAGAGAATGGATTGGTGGTTGCCAGAGGAGAGATGGTGCCAGAAATAACTAAATGAGTAAGGAGGATCAAGAAGTACCATCTTCCAGTTATAAAATAAAAAATCATGGGGATATAATATCCAGTTTGGGGAATACAGTCAATTATATTGTATCAACTTTGTATAGTGACAGACGGTAAGTAGATTTACCATGATGATCACTGCGATGCATACAAACTTTGAATCATTCTGTTTTACACCTGACACTATATAGTATCATATGACAGTAATACCTCAATTTAAAAAGGTATTATAAATAAAAAATATACACCAAAAAACCTCCAACTTGCCTCTGAGGAACCCAGGGCTCCTGGACCACAGTTTTAAAGGCCCATCACTCCCATTTTAGAGACTGAACTCCATGAGACCGCAGCATGGGTGGCAGAGCTGGGCCAGGAAACCCAGAGTCCTATCTCACAAGCAGTATAAATTCAGTTGCCTTCGATTGTCTATGAATATTAAATACTCTTAAATAAAACAAATCATAACATTAAACTAATTAAAATAAATAATAACTTTAAAGCCATACTTCCCTTATATTAAGAGAAGTCTTATCTTTGTAAGTGATTTAAAGGTTGGAAGAAGGAACAGGAGAGAAGGTAAAGAACAAAGGTGGGGGACAGTGGGAGTATGTCAGGGAAGGATGGCAATCCATCAAAAACAGGACTAAGAAACAGTAAACAGAGGACCCAAAGGGTCCAGCATGCTTCTTGATCTTGGTACTACTTGGTGCCAACGCTTGCTTTGCAAATGCTCCCTCTGAGTGAAACATTTAATTCTGCTGTGGCATTTAGACAGCACATCTAAACACACTTCCTTTTCCACTAATTTGCCTGAAGTAGACTTGTGGCTCAATTTCAGCCAGTAGATACAAAGAGAATCTATTAGAAGACTGCACCAACCCAAAGTGCCTCCCTAAGAGGCAAGTCTAAAGACTTGCTGTGAGAGACCCTTCACTAATTTAAGTCATGGCTACTAGGACAACCTGTTACTTGTAGCAGGTGCACCCTAATTGGCACAAAGGGGCATCAGCTCAAAGGTGGGAAAATCAGGAAAAGCTTCGGAAAGAGTGGTGTGGAAGCTGAAACCTGAAGGATGAGTAGGAATTAATCAGACAATGAAGTAGAGAGGTAGGGGGAGAAGGAAGTTTTCCACCAGAGGGGCTGACTTGCACAAAGTTACTGAGGAGAGAGAGGGTGGTACATCTGATCAAATGAAAGACGTTGAGGGTAGAAATACCAGCAGGAGATAGGCAGTGAAGGTCTGGGTAAGGTATTTGGATCCTATTCTCAGGGCATATGGAAGACATTGAAGGGTTATAAGAGGAAAGGTTTGCATATAATCAGTTTTGCATTTTAAAATATTACGCTGGTAAGGGTCTCCTGGGTGGCTCAAGTCAGTTAAGCGTCCAACTCTTGATTTTGGCTCAGGTCAAGGTCTCACGGTGTGTGAGTTTGAGCCCCATATCAGGCTCTGCACTGTCACTGCAGAGCCTGCTTGAAATTCTCTCTCTCTCTCCCTCTCTGCCCTTCCCCCACTTGCTCTCTCTCTCTCTCTCCCTCTCTCCCTCAGAATAAATAAACATAAAGTTAAAAAATAAAATAATAAAATATTATCATGGTGAATGGACTGGAAGAAGGCAAGAGTGAATATACGGATACAGTTGGAGGTTATGCACATAGCCTACCATTAGGGGATGATGCTAATTAGGGGGTGGTGATGGAAGATGGGGAACAATGGACAAACTTGAGAGATATTAAAATTGAAATAACAGGAGAATAAAACTCAGTGTCTGATTATGGGTATGATAGAAATCATAGATGAGCATCCAGATTTTTGGCTTGGGCAGTTGGGCAGATGGTGGTTAACTGACAGGAAACATGGAAAGAGGAGCAAGTTGTGGGCTGTGAAATAAGCTCATTTTGGGACACGCGGCCTCTGGGATGGAACAAGGAAGTTGAACACATGAATCTGACAAGATTGAGATTTGGACAAGACAGGTAGTTGGTCATCCCATGAGTTATCACAGGGAGAGTCATCAAAATTATAAAAGCAGATGAGTTTGTCTAGGGAGAGGCTGCAAGTAGAACAATGTAGGAGATAAGAATAGAAGGGAGCTCCAGGGCCGACTGCCAAGTTGGATTGTGGGTTTACTGCCTCAAATCATTTAACCTTTCTGAGCTTCAGTATTAGCTGTAAAATGAGAATAATGAAAGTACCTACTTCATGGAGTTATTGGGAAGATTAAAGAAGCTAATAATCACTAAAGTACTCTGAAAAAATCTCAGTCATAGCCAACAATAGTATTAATAGTATTCATGGGAAACTTACTAATTAGACACAGAAGGCACAGTGCCTAGGGTCCATAAAATGCTTTAATTTCTTTCTTATTTCTTAAAAATTTTATATATAGAGAGAGTGCTAGTGAGGGAGAAGGACAGAGGGGCAGAGAGAAAGAGGGAGAGAATCCTAAGCAGGTTCCACACTGTGTGTGGAGCTCAATGTGGGGCTCTATCCCACAAACCTGAGATCATGACCTGAGCCAAAATTAAGAGTCGGATGTTCAACCAACAGGGCTAACCAGGCACCCCATAATTTCTTCTAAAAATCAGAGAAAAAAGATATCAAGTTTGAATAAAACGTTTAATATATGATATTAATTTTTTATATTAACACAGTTGTAAACTATATCTTTTAATGCGTTTTTATGGAAGAAAGGGCCTACAAAGACAGAAATGGCTAGTGTTGTAGAAGTCAAAATGCAGTGCCGGTAGTAGTAGTAGCAGCGGGACAGAATCTGAAAAACAATACTTTGGGGACTGGCAGAAGAAGAGGGGAGGCAGGAGGCAGAGGAGAGTCTATGGGGAAGTCTGAGAAGGCATGGCTGCCGATGCCAGAGGAAAACGAGGAAGGGAGCTGTGCTTCGGAAGCCAGGAGCAGGGAGGCTGCAAGAAGGATACACCATGTCAAAAGCTGACAAGGGTCAGGTTCGAAGGGCACCAAAAAATATCCAGGGGATATAGTGATAAGGACCACGGTGCTCTTGATGAGAGTGGTCTCCAGTGGTGACAAAGTACAGTTTCTGAGGAGCGGGTTGAAGGTAAGGAAATGGAGATGGCTGCTGCAGACATCTCTCAGAAAGTTTCACTCTAAAAAGGAGGCTTTTCAAATGGGAGCATTGGCTGGCTTGCCCTGTATCCAGACAAGTCTCTGTCTGCTTCCCACATATGTGCAGAATTGTTTCCAGTTATGACACCAGGTGGGCCAGGGGCTCTTGGTACCTTAGAGCTTCAGAGACAAGTCCAGAGGAGGAAGTGCTTGCCTAGGAACCCTTAAGCCTAGCTGAGTGAGGAAGACAAGAGCCCAGGCTGGAGATGTTCACCCAGGGCCTCTGTCACACCCCTCCAGTCCACCCAGCTCCAGTCCTAACTGTGTGTGACTCACAAGGAGATTTAGCCAGTTGGATTATTTGTTCTGTTTGGTTTCAATGGGCCTCCCACAACCTTTGTTCTATTTTTAAAATGAAAAGAAATGAATCACAGGCTACCCTGCTCTACTGCTGCTCCCATGTGGCATTAGCCCAGTCTTGGGACATAGGACGAGGCTGTTGGACAAAGGGCGAAGGTCCTTCAGTCCACTACAGCACTGGCCAATTATGTAGACTGCTCACCAAGAGTACCTGTGTGTTTCTGTCCAGTGTGGCTTGCTGTCTGGGGGGGTCCTCCGTGATCATATGATAATTACTGAGAAGCACATCTTCCAAAAGCAGCTGCATGCCTACCAGCTCTCCATGAGCCACCTTTAGGTCATGGTCACTCAACCTACAGAGGCACAGCTAAAAACAAAAAAAGAACAAAATGAAACAAAACACCCATTTTGAAGATCTCTGTGTATTCTTATACATGATTTTGGGGAGAAAACTAGGAATAACTGGGTTTATGTGCCCTGCCCTCCCAACTATTAGAAAATCCATAAAAATGAGGGTAGCATTTCTAGCTCAAAATCCTTCTTGACCATATCAGACTTCTGGCTTTGTATGGAAGTCCATGTATGGAAGTGCATTGCAGCACTTTACAATGGTATCTGTACATGGTGAATGCATAGCATTATATCAATTTTCCTTTAGAAGTACAGATAGAAACACATGTATGTATAGGGAAAGTACTGGAAAAAATAAACCAAAATGTGAACCGTGATTGTCTCCTAATGGGGGAAATGTGATTTACTTTTTTTTAACCATTCTTACTACTTTACTTTAAAATACCCCAACCTTTTTAATTTTGAGCATATACAAAAGTAAACAGTATAGTTTCCACCACTCAGCTTTAAGAACCATCAGCCTGTGGCCAATCCTTCCCCTATCCTCATCACTCTACACTTCCATATTATTTCAGAGCAAATTTATGATTGATTTTCATGTTTAATACTTTTCTATATTTTCTATTTTTAAAAATGAGAACACAAAATTTGCTTTGGTAATCAGGGAGGAAACACATAATTGAAAGAAATTCCCCTTAGGAACCCTACTCAAAGGATCCTCTTCCTACCACGGTTCACAGGCAGACCGGGAGTTACATACCCCTGTGCTTCCAGCCTGTGTGTTTCTCTAAGAGGCCCAGAGAGTGACGAGATGGATGGTCACTCTCCCAGATCATTACTGGCCATGGGAATTATAGCTGAGTCTACAACCAAGGCCCATACCAGCTGAGACTCTGATTCTCTTCTGTCATAAGAAAACATGACTCACCCCGTAGCACTGGATTTACAGCTTCATAATCAAAAACCCTGCTTATCTCATAAATTATTCACCACTGACCTATGGACCCAATGAAACCAGCTTTACAGTCTGCCTTCAGTTCTCTCTGACACAAGTGGGAAGACCTATCCTACCTGCATATTATACTCTAAGGTATCTGGGCTGCTACCCATAACTGGAAACAGTCCTCCATCTTCTAGAAATGCTCTCCAAGGGAATAGCACAGATGCCTAAAAGACCAAATAAGAAACATGATAATGCTGTACTGTTGTCCACAAATAATAAACATCTTATATGAATAGGATTTCTGTGTCTATACTCCAAAACACTGTGAAATGATTTATTATTTTATAGAAATCATTCTTGGGGCACCTGGGTGGTGCAATTGGTTAAGTGTCTGATTTCTGATTTTGGTTCAGGTCATGATCTCACGGTTCATGAGATCAAGCCCTGCATCGAGCTCTGTGCTGACTGCATGGAGCCTGCTTGGGATTCTCTCTCTCTCCCTCTCTCTCTCTGCCTCTCTTCTGCTGGTGTGTTCTCTCTATCAAAATAAATAAACAAACATTAAAAAAAGAAGTAGTTTCTGATAGGAAGTCTCTGATGATGTAGAGCAGAAAGTAATACTCTTCCCACATCCCAAAATCTGGATAAACATAGAAGGGTACTTAATTAAGACTTCAGCGTAACTAGTCAGCACTAGTGTTGGGAAGTTCCCGAATACTATAATAACAATGGGACACAGTTATAATCACCAAAAGTAAACTTGTTCAAATGTTCTCGATATTAGGAACCCTAAAATGTTTTCCTTCATGACTACTGTGTTCCAATTCTAGGTAACAATTCAAAGCCAATGCCACAATGTTAATATGTGGGCCTCTCTCTTTTCTATATCACTGTCCAACAGTCAAGGCATCCCCTACTAGTTGTGGCACCACACGCAGGCCTGGACACAGTGGGCCTATCCATCTGACCCCATTCTCCATTTGCAGACTCAGTACTGGCTTCAGACAATTCCTAGAATTGGAATTAATTCAGGTAGCCAGAAGCCAGGGTACCTGCATCTACCTGACCCCAGGCAACATCTAAAGGCAGTAGGAACAGGAGTAATAATCATGGTCAATAATCCCGTCTTCCAGGATTAAATGAGGGTCAAGGTTTGGGCCAACAGTCATTGTCTTGTTGCTAGGGAAGGTTAAAGGGTAGGACTTAGATGGGGTTGATGTTGGTATTACTCGGCTTAGCTTTGTTAACATAAAAATATTACACTGGAGGTTTAGGAGTCAGAAGACCTGGGTTTGAAAGGTGGTTTTATTTTATTTCATTTCATTTCATTTATATATATATATATTAATGTTTATTTATTTTTCAGAGAGACAGAGTGTGAGTAGGGGAGGAACAGAAAGAGAGAGGGAGACGCAGAATCTGAAGCAGACTCAAGGCTCTCAGCTATCAGCACAGAGTCTGACTCAGAGCTTGAACTCACAGACCATGAGGTCATGACCTGAGCCAAAGTTGGATACTTAACCCACTAAGCCACCCAGGCACCCCATGAAGTGGTTTTAAATATTGATGGTCCACAACTTCTTTGATACTCTTCCTATTAAGATGTGGAATTTAATTCTGCTCCCCCTGATTGTGGGCTAAAAGTAGTGACTCACTTCTAATGAATAAAATATGGCAAAAATGATGGGATGTCATTTCTGAAATTAGGTAATAAAAAGACGGTGATTTCCACCCTGGGTTCTGTTTCTTGTTGTCTTTTGAATTGTTTGGTCTGGAGGAATCCATTTGCCATATTGTAAAGAAGTCCTGTGGGAAAGCCTACATGAATAAGCTTAAAAGTGGGTCTTCTGGTGCCTACCAACAGCACATGAGTGAGGTTGAAAGCAGATTCTCCTCCAGGAGACCCTTGAGATGACTACAGCCTGGGCCAATACCTTGATCGCAGACTGGTGAGAGATCTTGAGCCATAACTACATCATAAATTGCTCTCAGATTCCTGAGAAACTTTGAGATGATGAATGTGTATTGCTTTAAGCTACTAAATTTTGGGGTCATTTTTTATGCAGCCATAGGTAAGTAATACAATTTGTGACCTAGTGCTGTCATGACTGCCTAGCAGTCTGATCTCTGGCCTGCCAGAACCTTAAACTCTTTAGTTGTAGAAGGTGGGTAATATTGTTGGTACCTAGGAGCAATAATAATTGCCAGGATTATGTATGATAACAGCCTGTTGTAAACAGGGCTATTAAAAACTCAGTGGCTGACCTAATTTCTATATTGTAATTGCTCTCATTATTATTTATTAAATGGAAAAGATCCATTGTTGGTTTTGCTATCAGCTGGGAGCAGACAAGCTATTGCCCCAATTTGCTTATTAAGCACTTTGGAGGTAAAGACTCTGACTGGGAATAACAGCTGGCCACGAGGGCCTATGTCAATGAAGGGGAGCCAAGCAAGACTCAAGAGCCCTAGAACATGGAAACCCCTGCAAAATTTAAACCAAATGGAAACAAAGTGCCAAGTTCCTCTATGTACAACACAGTTTCTAGGTATAAAACTACTTTTCAACATACCTGGAGGCTCTGTGGATCTAGTGGCTGAGGCAGGCTGAACTGTGAAGCAAAAATGCTCTTCACAAGAGAGTTGCTCAGTGGTGGCAATCCGTGGTACATGCCGTCTGTGACAGACTGGTAGGCAGATGCATTTCCAGTTGTCAAAAATGTTCTTCTACCAAAACATGGAGGGAATCTCATTAAAAGCAGTTACTTAAGCTTCTAAAGCTCAAAACTTTCTTTGAAGTTACTATAGAGAGATAACATTTTGAGACAAAAACAAGTTTCTTCCTCAGTTACCTCATCCTTCACCCCCCCCTTTCTTTACATACTGCCCTTCGCTCTCATGATTCACAACCCTCAAAGGGAAAGGTAGATATATTCTAGACTAGTACTGTCCAATAGAACTTTTTGCAATGTGGAAATGTTCTTTCTTAACTTGATTTACTTATTTTGAGAGAGAAAGAGAGAGAGAAAGCATGAGTGTGAGCAGGGGAGGGGCAAAGAGAGAGAGGGAGAGAGAGGATCCCAAGCAGATTCCAGATTCCATGCTGTCAGCATACAGCCTGATTCTGGGCTCAGTCTCACAAATGGTGAGATCATGACCTGAGCTGAAACCAAGAGTTGCATGCTTAACCAACTGAGCTACCCAAGTGCCCCCAATATGGAAATGTTCTAAGCTTGATTGTCTAATATGGGAACCACTAGCCACATGTGACTGTTGAGCACTTGAAATGTCACTACTATGACTGAGGAACTGAATTTTAAATTTTACTTCATCTAAATCAATATCAGTTTCATTTTAAATTAAATAGCCACACATGACTACTGCATTGGATAATTCAGCTGTAACTCTAGAACAAAGATGGATCGTTTATTGAATTACTTTAAGACAATAGCAGAGGCAATTTTTGATATGCAAAACCAAATTTTAAAAATATTTTTTAATGTTTATTTATTTTTTAGGGAGAAACAGAGTGTGGGTGGGGAAGGGATAGAGAGAGAGGGAGACACAGAATCTGAAGCAGGCTTTAGGGTCTGAGCTGTCAGCACAGACCCTGACATGGAGCTTGAACTCACAAATCACGAGATCATGACCTGAGCCCAAGTCAGTCACTTAACCGACTGAGCCACCCAGGCACCTCTGCAAAACCATATTTTAAATTAAATAATAAAATCTTGGGGTTTGAGAGAGGAAGATTTCTGTTTTGTTTTGAACAAAACTTGGCTTTGCATATCAAGAACCAAAAATCCTGAAGACTAGTGCATGAAATTTATACCATAAGCTGTAAAGAAGGAAGTATGCATGATAAATTACAATGACTTTTTTTTGTCCAAACGGAAATAAGAATTTAGTAAGCAAGGAAAGACTGTTTTTAGAACTTAGATCTAGTGGATACTGGAGAAAAGATGCTGACACAGGGTAAACTGAGGAAAGGCTATCCTAAAACAAAAGGGACCATTTGCTGGGATCTTCCATGGGCTTGGCCCAACTCTTGCATAAAGCAGATATCAAAAAGGAGATTAGCAATGACTGAGGGATATACTAGCACTGAGGGACATGACGTAGACTCCCAGAAACTAGCAGACAAATCAAAGTGTTGGGGAAAGACCAGAGGGGTGCCCGAGCCCCCACAGGAGGGTGTATCTACATGGGATGCTGAGCATCAGGCCAATCAGAAAAGATCTGGAGTTAGACAAGATAACCCACAATGGGTAGGTGGAGGTAGCTGTTCTTCCTCAACTGCTAGGATGACTTATAAGCACCCCAGGAGCTTACATCATCTCTGAGAGGAATGAAGGAAGAGAAAAGTGTAGTGTAAGACCTAAAACTTAGGTCTAAAATTACATGCTGCCTTGACATCTGGTAAAATCGGGAGGGCCTGGTATGGCCTCACCAAAAGGTCCCCTCTCCACTTAGCTCCCACAGATAAGGTCCCTTAGTCAAAGAACCTTCCTTATTGAAGGGACTAAGTACAATCCCTGCTTATCTCAGAGTAGTGGTTTCTGTCCCCTGCCAGACCACAAAAGTATTCAAAGGAACCAAGCACATCTTCCTGCACAAATGAGGGGGCATCACACTCTCCTGATACCACAAAGCCTGTCTCCCACACTCCCTGGTTGTTCACTCTGTTCCCAGGTGCAGTTCCTCTCTGGCCCTACATGGCAGGCAGTGTCCCCTTCCTCTGGGATGTAGCTGACTGGTAAACTGCTGTTGACCCCCTCTGCCCAGTGTTTAGTGTCCCTCTAACACTAGGGCAGAATCCCTCCCTTACCAAGAGGGTGAATAGGAGGCAATTAAAACAAAAAGAAATGGGGATTAATTAATCTCAAATTAATTAATTTTAAATCTCCAACCGACCACTTTTAAGCTCTACATGTGGCTGGGTGAGGTGGAATTAGGAAGTTTCATCTTTTTTGCCATCAGCAGAAGGGGCATATGAACTTGAGTTCAAAGGCAGATAAAGGGAGCTCCATACTTTTTTTGCATCAAACCATTGTACTAGTGCAAAAATCATATTTTCACATTTAATGAGAATTAGCAAAAGATAGTTGAATACATGTTTTATACTGAGAGACTAGATAAAATCATTGATTTATCCTGATAGCTCAAGGATGGAGCCTGGAGTTGTTCAATGAGAACATTTTCTCCTGCTGCTCTTGTCTTTCACATGTTTTCTCATGATTTTCAATGGGCCCTGCCAGGAACCCGTTATTCACTCACTACGCATGTGACAGTGATGTATCCAGGCCCAGCTATGCACAAGGCAAAGTACAGGAACTGTCCCAAATACAAAAATGTGTTTGACCTTCCAACCTAGTAGGAGCCCCCAGTGAGGCAGAGCTCATTTACAGCTCTTCTGACCTTCCTCTAAATGACCATGGTACTTTCTACACCCACATCTCTCTTCTGGCCCATATAGATTATAGAGATCTACTTAAAACAGTGGTACCAAGCAGCAGAATACTCCCACAGAAACATTTATTTTCAGCCCAAATCAAGAGCACAGAAGTCTAGTATCTTGTACAACCTCTTCCTGGTTGGCTCCTTTTCTATCATTCCTGCTCTTGTCTCCCACCAGTCCATAGAAGGATTTCTCTTTCTCTCAGCCTCTGGGTCCAGCTTTGTTCAATCCTTGACTGTAGTGCTTCTATTTTAAAATTTATTTTCTGTTTATTATGGATATGATATCTTGACATCTTTCTGGCTAAGGATGAGACTGCTCCTCCTTGGGCTAGTCAGCTCTTAGAAATAGCAAAGGACTCAGCTGGGAGCATGGCTTTGATATGCAAACCAACCAGTCCGGAGCCATACTTCCTCTACCTGACCCTTGCACCTGAGGAGGTAATATTCCTCTGCTTTATTCATCCCAGGGCTAGTTAACAGACAACCAGAGACCACCTCTACAGCCCAAAGCCCAATGGAATTATTCATCCCAGCCCTGCCTTGTCTTTCAGACTATGGCCTCAGCACTCTCCTTGCTCCTGACCCACACAGAAGCTTTCCCACGTAGCTCTGTGTGGCGTTGCATACATGCTGTTTCTAGGACCTGTGAATATAAGAAGCTTTGTCTTCCTAAGTCTCTTCTGTTCTCTTCTTGCGGCTATACCTGACTGGTCATCACATAAAAGAACACAGAACACCAACATGCTCTCTTATCCTGACAAGTCTGTGCAGAACTTTGTAACTACCAAGTGCCACAAACTAACACTATATCTGGCAGGGTTCTAGAGCCCCAGACGCAGCTCTGTGCACATACCAAGTCTATTAACTTATGGATGCTTGGAGACTATTCAAAAATACAATACAGTTCAGATGTAAATGTGGCTGCTAGTCTAAGCTACAGAATTATAGAATATGATATACTTTCTAGAGAGCCAGAGTCAAATTATAGACACCACCATTGAAAAAATCATTGGTTATTCTTTTCCCTACTTTCCTCATTGCTTAATTAATTAATTAATTAATTAATTTTAATGTTTTTTTTTAATTTATTTCTAGGAGAGAGAGAGAGACAGCATGAGCAGGGGAGGGCCAGAGAGAGAGGGAGACACAGACTCTGAAATAGGCTCCAGGCTCTGAGCTGTCAGCACAGAGCCCGACAAAGGGCTCGAACCCATGAACCGCGAGATCATGACCTAAGCGAAAGTCGACGCTTAACTGACTAAGCCACCCAGGCGCCCCCCTCATTCCTTAATTTAGATCACCATCCTTTGTAGGCCCATATCCCCTCTATCAATAGAACTGTTTCTAATGCTATGTGAAAAAAAGGGTCTCAACATAATACCTAATATTTTAGTACTCAATCCTCTTTTATTTCCTCCCTCTCCAGAGACTCCATGTTTTGAAAGTTTTTTTCTATCAAATGTTCATTAAATATTTTCCTTGATACCACATCAGCCTCCAGCCCAAGCTTCAAGCTGCAGGAAGAGATGAAGAAACCTGAGATAAAGGAAGGAATAGGGGTCTGGAGTCTGACAAACTGCATGGATGCAAGTTCTGCTACAATAAGCTGCGTGACCCTGGGCAAGTTATGCAACTTCTCTGAATCTTTATTTCCTCATCTGTTAAAAATGAGGGAAATGGTTTCTACCCACTGAGTTGGCACATGGTGGGAACTCAACCAAAGCAAGTTTCCTCTCCCCTTTATCTTGGTTCTTAGGATTCCAGTTTAAAAAAAGAAAAGAAAAGAAACACGCTTAACATTTTGTTTACCTACAAAGCTTTTGGGCAAATGTGTCTTTTTCATCATGCCTTTTGAAATATTGACAACAGGTCATGGGTTCCCATCACAACTCACTCATATCCTCATTTGGTAAACCCTGGCCTGTGTCTTCTGGTAGGGGGGTCTGACCAGCACAGCTTGCCCAGTAGCACTCAGGAAACAGGGAATCCCACAGGAATAAAAGGCAGGCTTGTTGCTTGGGTCAGTGGTACACCTGCCAACCGTCAGCTCCAAATAAAGTCAGGTTTCCTCAGTAGCCCACAAAAATACCAGAATAGACACACCGAAGTCTCCAAACTGTTCTGCCACACTCCAGCTGCCTTGTCGTCAATAAGCAGTGAAGGGTTTCCTAAGACACCACCCATCTTGTGTGTGAGAGAGCTACTCATAGCATGAGCCCAGACAAGCTGGTTCTAATCACAGGGAGCAGGGAATTCACAAGGTACATGCAAGAGTTTTTTCTGGATGCAAGGATAAAAACAAACAAACAAACAAATAAACAACAACTAAAAACCAAAATAACAACAAAAACACCTACAAAGTAGCCCTGAGGAGGCCAGGCAAAAGTGGTGGCTCTTTACTCCTCAGACGCCGAGACCAAGACCATGGTCATAAGCCAAGCCCAGCTCACAGGAGGCCTTCTCCGTAGTTCTCAGAAATCCGCAGGGAGCCCTGAAGCACACTGTAATATCTCCATGTTTAGAGACACTTAAACTAGAAGAGCATAAAAATAAATTTAAAAATGAAGGGAAAAACAACAAAAATGTAAGGACTTGAGAAGTGGTGTTGTTTTCCTATCTAGAGATGCCTTTTTGTACTCTCAATTCAGACCTGCCGAGAAAATTACTTGGACCTTCAGGGTATTTCCTCAGGTTTCTTCTTTTTGCCCTAACCACTCTGAACATTAGAAATATATTCCTATTAGTGGCACTTCTCAAGCCACATGTTTTATTCTGTTCTAGAAGTTCCTTTAAGGGACTTCTTGTTTTGTTTCGTTTTGTTTTGTTTTGGCTTCCTCCAGAACTGAATTACAAAGCAATTCAATCCTTTAAATCAGGGTGTGGCAAAATTTTCCTTAAAAGGTCAGATAGTAAATATTTTCAGCTTTGTGGATCATATGGTCTCTTGCGCAACTACTCAGCTTTGTGTGAAAGCAGTCTAAGATAATTTATAAATGGATAGGCATGACTGTGTTTCAAAACCTTCATTTATGGACACTGAAATTTGAATTCCATATAATTTTCGTGAGTCACAAAATACTACTCTTTTCTCAAAAATTTTCCCCCAACATTTAAAAATGTAAAAGCCATCCTGAGCCCACAGGCCATACAAAAATCAGGCTTATGACAGAAGTTTGAACACCCCTGACCTAAATAGTTGGGATTGATTAGAACCACTTTACCACCCAAGCAATTACTTTCAATACGAATGATTACCTCACCTGAAATTAAAGATAAGCTCATTTCTCACATCTTTCTTGCACTGGCTAATAAATAACTCCTGCAGGTCGGTGGACATAACCTGGGCAATGTGGTTCCAATGGTATTGAAGAACAATACCAATTTCTACCAGGAGCTTGGTAGAACATGACGTGGTTTGGAGTGATGATGGGGTCCAGAGCCAACATCCAAGAAAGAATTCTTGAGACGACTTTGTGCAAAAAGGTGGTTTTATTAAAGCAAGGGGACAAGACCTGTGGGCAGGAAGAGCTGCCCAGAGACTGGGAGGAGACACTGATTCTACAAGTCCAGGGGAAGTTTCCAAAGAGATTTTCATATGCTAAAGAAGACTCACTGGATCCTGGAGGCCTAGCTGTTGTCAGACTAAGGTTGTTTTTCCCTCTAGCAAACCATTAACATTAAGACAATCGGGAGTTCCTGGAAATATGTTATACTCTGCCTGCCTCAAGTATTTGTCAACGGACTGCAGGTTATAAGGAAATTTAATTTTATCTGCCATTTCCTTCTGCCTTTGTTTCCCACATCAGAGGGCAGGGTGACAGGGGCAGAGTGAAACTTCTGTGCTTAGAAACAGCATCTGTCCTGCAACTAGAGCTGATTATGCCACATAGAATTAGGAGCCAGATATTAGGCGATTAATGGGCCACTATCTCGATGTCATTGAGCTACATCCTTACTCATTTTCCCCCAGTCTATAGAAGCATGCTGCTCTCATTCCAGGTAAAAGTTCAGTTCTTTCTTTTCAAATTCTGGAGAAGTCTTGAGTTTCTGTAAGCAAAAATTCCCTTGGGTAAACAGTCATATTTGCTCAGAGTTGGTGAACTCTGGGGAAGGGCGAGGGAACTTCCCCATGCTTCCTGTCTCTTGATTATCTAAGGACTTTTCCTTGTTTGCAGGCTTAGCAGTGAAATCATCAAGTGAGATGACATTTATCTGTTAGCTTCTCTTTTCCTCCTGTTCCCTACCTTCTCTCCAGGCTATTTTTCTACCCACACTTGCTGTCTGGCATCCATCCTAGTTCTAAAGACTTAGGAGTCAAATGCACCTAGGTTCTTCTTCTAGTCTGCCACTTAACTAAATGTGTGATTCCAAACACACACCAGCCCAGAAGAGTTCTGAAGATAAAGGCGGAAGGAAATGTGATGAACAAAGGCCTCGTGGAGACATACCGTCCTGAGTGGTTCCCTCCAAAGTCTTTTGAAAAATATACTGAATGTACCGAAACCAGACATAGAACACAGTGCCCTCTATTCCCGAGGACTGAGTGTGTCAGGACAAAGGAAGGCCCTCAAAGGAATTCCTAGGGGAAGCAGAGTGGTTCCTCTGGGAGGACAGTAGCAAGCTGAGCCCTGCACAGCTGGACTCCAAACAGAACCTGGAGGGGGGTGGGTATAGTTCTGTCTTCATCCTACATAAACTCCTTCCAAATCTCACTTGAGGTTTCAGAGTCAGAGGACTAATGAATATCCATCCTGAAAAACTTTGAGCCTTTATATTCTACCCGCTCGACTAAGCTACAGCTCAGAAAGCTGTTCGTCAATAAAAAAGAAATGAATGAGTCCAATTGTTTTGTTCTGCTGAATTAATCTGAATCCAGAGATCCTTGATGCTCGGAGTATAGAAAATGCAGAGTAGAAAGAGAAAATACAATTCGGTTCCATTGCTACATTTCCATCCTCTATGGATACCCATGCTAACAGTGAAATGTAATTAATAATTCACAGGTAAAAGCACGGCTTCCTGAGGTCTCCCTCCTAGGCTAAATACTTATACTGGGAATTAATCAAAGTTAATTGATTTTGACAATTTAAGAATGAGCAGAGACCCTTAGGTCTGACCTCTTCCCTTCCCATATAAAACTTATTATTTATCCTAGAAACAGTGTGACTCTCAATCTAAACTAATTTTCTCATCAGTCATGATTAATTAACCAAATAGACATTCTTTTTGGTATGCAAATATTTATTTGAATTTATAAATTTAACTCAGCCAATTCCACAGCCTTCACAAGTGCTGTGAAAATTCTGTTCTTTTGAAAGGTAATTAAGGGCTGAAAAAAATAAAACTCTTAGAATCATCTTCAGAGGTATGAAAAATATTATTCCCAATTAAACAACCTGAACATTGAAAGCCATTGTTATGCAAACTAACTGTATTTAAGTCACAGTTAATAAAATTGAGAATATTATAATCGGACAAAAACACAGGCTACTTGAACAGCCTTTGCAGCAGAATACCTTTGGTAGCCACAGTGTTCTGGCTTAGGTTGTGCCCCTGACTATTTTAAGCTTGGTATTCAATCTTGCCAAGAGTGGCCTCCATCAGTGGTCACTCAGAAGCACCTGCCCTACACAATTAACTGGACAGGATCCAGCGCGCCAGCCCTTACCGGATGAGGTGCCGCACTGCAGCATCAAACTGCAAAAACATAACCTCCCTTCGGAGGAGGAGCACCTGGGACACGTGTGCAGGGTCCTGGGGGCTCTGGAGGCTGTCAATCATTTTCTGCAGTTCTAGAAGCTCAGACCCTGGAAGATGGATGACATTTTCGTCAGATAGTGTGACATACAGGCTACTGTGGCTAACCTAATGAGCCATCATCACCTCCAAAGCTAACTTTTTACCTCTTTGTTTGTGAACATGCTAATTATAGTTTTTGCAGAACCAGCAAAGTCTTATATTGTAGAGCCCAAGTTCTGATTTATCTTTCCTTCCTTCCTTCCTCCCTCAATAAGATAAGAATTTGCTTTGCTTTTCAGAATAAGAACATGATGGTGAATGAAAGTTTTAAATTTTACAAGGCTACAGCCTCTAGACTGAATAAAAGAATTACAAGGAATGGGAAGATATAGGTCTCAGTAGATCTGTTAAGGGCTTGAAGTTATTGTAGATTACAAACCAGCATTCATTCCCATGAATATGCCATGCAAATCAGCCTCTCTGTCACTGGCTCATCCTGTCGCTGGCTCATGGATTAAAGAAGACTCTAGACCATGTAAGGCAAGTAAATAATATGCATGCCTATATGTGCACGTGCACGTGCTCTTGTGCGTGCACACACTTACACTCGCACACACACACACCTTCTTCTAGGACATTATCATCATTTTAGGAGGTGTGAGAGATCCTAAACTGACTTATTTCTTGGATCCTTAATGCAAAAATGGATATAAATAGCCTTTTATGTGTTTTGAGTGGCAATCTAAGTTAGGGGCCTTTTGCAGCACTCAGTGCTGGGTTGAGGAAACAGGCCTGGGGATAGATGACTTAATAGCATCTCTATTATTGGCCCAGGAGAGGAGCTAGTCAGAATGGGAGAGCACAGCAAGAAAACAATGAGTCCTTAGGGAGCAGTGGTGGGGTAGTGGGTGGGCCTACGCTTCCAGGGCTATCGGGATGTCAGCTGATCTGAAATGTTCATCAACTCCCAGTGAGGATGGTGATAACTTTCTACTTGAGAGGACGTCACTGTTATGGGAAGAAGACTATGGAAACTGATCTTCATGTTTGATATGTAGCCCAAGGCAGAAGACAAATGGGATATTCATGAGGCATTTTCAGAGTTACTCTCTCAATAGCTTGTCCAGATTGAGCAGCCTTCTACCCTATCTGGGCTGGCATTGGATTTCTTCCCACATTTCTAGATGAAAGAGGAATAGAGGGAATGGGGAAGCTGTCCATGAGAGCCTGACCAGGGCAGAACCAGGACTGAGTATAGTTGCTAATACTTGCAATACATGCTTTTGGCTTTAGAAAAAGAGGAGCAGTCCAGATTTCATATCCATTTGATACTTTACATAGAAGAGAAAAATGGGTTTTTAGGTACTTTTCTAGCCCCTGCAAAATTGAACCCAATAACTAAAGTTTTTATGACTCCTCTATAAACCCGATGGTCATATTGGACTGAAAAGAAACTCCTCAAAGAGGAGTCATGTTAGAGTGAACTGCACAAGAATTTTAGTGGTGGAGGGAAGCCCTAGTTAGTGGTAGTCAGTGAGCCTTATTTGTTCAAGGCCTAGTAGGACGTTCTGCAAGTATTACTTGCTGTCAGGTGAAGTAGCAACCGGGGTAAATGGTTTATAATCCTCTGCAATGACAATGAGAAAGGAATATAAAGTTGCATATGCCCTGTGATTAAAGCTCTGTTAAAGGTAAAGTGTGTTTGGACAAGGGCTAGAAGGCAGTAAAGATAAATAAAAATATCTCACTTGTCATAATGGTTGGCTTACAGGTAATTGTTCTCTTTTCATTATTTCCATTCTTGTTTATATATGTGATGTGTGTGCATGTTTACATGATCACTTCCCAGCAAAAATGTTCTATGCTGATAGGTAGTATTATCATTAAAACACAGATATAGATGTGGGGACTACCCTTTCTTTGTTGTTAACTGATTTTACCATCCTCATTAACCTTCCCTTTCCTCATGGCATCAAGCTGCTGCTTGGTGGGAGGGGAGGTGGCTGGCGGTGCAGGGCAGACAGCCTGTCTGGGAGGATGGGGCAGATGGTGACCATGTAGTTGTGGTGGTGGAGTTGGGAGGAGACCCTGAGCCAGGAAACATCAGGAAACAAATGAGACTTTCCCGAGGAGGGTCCCATTTGGGAAATCAGGGAGAGAGGGAGAGGGAGAGAGAGAGAGAGAGAGAGAGAGAGAGAGAGAGAACTGAATCATAGTGGCCCTGTCTCCATGTGAATACTCTGAGCCAGTACACTTTGTTCTTAACTTGTCTCTAGAGTTCCTGAAACTCTAAGTCTAGGGGATAGGGTTTGGTCTTTAATCGGCCTCCTAAACCTTTACAAGGAAATCACAGTGTAAACTCCCACAGGCTGATTACATCCTCTGCTGACTACAAGGGGAGTTGCTGGCTTTCAGGCAAGGAGAGGATTGGGCAAGGTCCACAGAGCTCATGCCAGTGTCTAAGAGCTGCTTCCTTAATCAAGTGGCATGGCCAAAGCCGAGATCTGGAGGGTCCCCTTAAAAGTTATTTTAAAGCATATGAGCCCACAAAAGTCATCTAACTCCAAAGAGCTTGGCAATAGCCGAGAGGAGGTAGGTGAGGATGTGAACAGACCCATCTCTTTTCACCTTAGCTCTCCTTGCCTCTTCTGGGAAGCAAGCCAGGAACTGAGCAACCTAGGCTTTTTAAAAAGATGATTATCATAGAGTGGGATTTTCTTTTTTAGTCCAGTTTGCTCTTTATCTATTTTCAGCAGAGTATGCAAAACTTTGCACATTCTCCCTGGAGCACAAATGTTTTTGCTGGCAACATGACAGAGTGCATGCTTCTAATTGCACACCTTGGAAAGCCTGGGCCCCACATGTTTCGATGGTTTCTGGTTCATAAGCATATAAATAGTAAGAAACCATTTTCCTTCAGCCTGAATTCTAGGTCTTCAACAATTTGGCCTCATTTCCCACTGTTCCTCGGTGTCACACTGGTAGGGACGCCATTCTCTGGACTGGCCGTGTGCCTGTCATCTTGGCCAGTGTCCTTTTCTTGTCTTGCCAGGACCATCCCTCTTCGTGTTCTCCATTGACTTGAGGGTGAGGGCAAGTGCCCCCACATCACCTTCCCAGCAGGTTCTGCCTTCCCAGCTGTTGTAGGAGTTCCCATGCAGTGTCTTCCTTTGGAAAGATGGCTCTAGCTCTATCTTGCTTCTGTCTCATCTCCGTGTGACACTTGTCCCCCTGTCTCAAGGGCAGGGATGGCATTCTTCCTGTCCCATCCTTTCTCCTGTCCCTCATCTAAAGCCTGCTCCCCACACCCTCCCCAAATCTACAGCTCCACTAAGAGTGTCTTAGCTTATTTTCTGAGTAAGCCCCTTTTGTAACAGTCCCTGAATTAGTAAAAGGAAAGGCTCTAAGTGTGCTTTGGAGCTTCTGTATTCTCCTGATTCTTACATGGAAGACTTGCTAGTAGTTTTGCAATCTCATTGGCCTGTGACGATGCTGTGGTTTCTGCTGAGTCAGCACCAAACCATCCCTTCTTCATGCTGCCTCTCCTCAGACACAGGCTCCAATCTTCCTCCAGGAGCACCACGCATACCCTTGCCTATCTGAAAGTTTACAAACTCCTTCAGTGCTTGTTAGCGCACTGCAAATCTAGCAGCAAACAAGTCAGGATCTCCCACAAACATATTTCCTTTATACACTGGTCAGAGAGGAATAGATTCAGAGTATATTACACTTGTTTGAAGACCACTAGGTTAAAACAGGCATATTATTACCTCATTTTGGTGGCTCTTCTCATCCTTTAAAATCCTTGGCTACTCTGTTACAATATATTGTAATATTTACATAACTAATGACACAATTTGGCTGGGAGTCAAATTATTAAAATAACAAGATTAGTTTCCCTACTTTTGCTTAACTCAGCTTACTAAGCATTTCAGAGTCTTTAATTTACCTTGTGCATTTATCTTAGAACTTAGTGTTTAGTTAGGGTTTATGGATTAGCACTTGGCAAATAAAACTAAAGCCTCAATCATTCTTACTTCAGGACCATCAGGCTACTGTTAGCTAACAGAGGACTGTCTGCAAGAATTCTTGATAATAAATGCTTGGTTCTGACCTTGCCATGTTAGCTCACATAGGCCAGAAAGGGAATGAAAGAAAACTAATGTGCAGTAGGGACATGTACGTTCTTGTAGAAACTTGACATAGATTTTAATCCACAGAACATCTCCAGGAAACTGGTATTATCATCGCCATTTAATAGATGGACAGAGGACCACAGAATGAAATGTCCAGCTTCCAGTAACCAAGTGGCAGATACTGGGTAAAAACCCAGGCTTGCTCCTCTTGACTTGCTTTACTTGTGGTTTAGCCTATTAAATGTGGAATTAATTAGTTTGGAGACACTATATTATGAGGTTTTGCTCCTTGCCCTTCTTCTCACTGTCATTTATGAAAAAATATTTTACTTTTGTCTTTCCAAGTATTAAGAGCTTCATATTAATTAACTAGGTGGGAGGAATCTTTTCAGAGTGTGTGTGTATATCAAATCATCACATTGTACACTTTAAATAGCTTACAATTTTATTTGCCAATTATACTGCAGTAAAGTTGGGTGGGGGGTGGGTGGGCAGAAAGAGTTTCATAGAATTTCAAGTGAATATTGAAGGTGATTTGAATCACCTTTAATCACTTACCAATGCCCTCAGTTCCTCCCCAGTCACCTTTCAAAGGGTTAGTACTTAGAGGGAATTTAAAACATGTTGAGCAATTTCCAAGTTTAGCAAAACTGAAAAGGTAGGCCACAATGTCATGGAGAGGAGCTATCAGCTGTAGAGTTAGCTTTAAGGCTCGAAAAGCTGCCTGTGGGTATAATCAACACAAAGACATTTTAAGAAGTTTCTAAGAGACATATAAAAATATATGAGCATTGATGGAGAAAAGATCTTTGAACAAGAATACTGGTTAAACATTGTCACAGTATAATACAGGATAATAATTACAGGATAATATCCGAAAAAGAGAACAACAAACCTATTCGTGAACCAGGTTATATGCCTTTGGACAAGGTTAAGTCCTGGAGTGAGGCATTTAAAGCAATGTGTTTCTCTTTGTTTAAAGCCATGGTGACCACAAACACGGAGAAATGTGTTTATATGACCACTGACAGATTACAAGGGTCACAAATAAATTCCTAGCAGGAACCCACATTCAGACAACATTGCCCTGAGGGAATACCTAGAAGCAAAGCATAGGTATTTATCAATGTAGTTTAAACACACAACTTAAAAATCAAACCCTGGATCTTAAATATTAATGTTCAAGAGAAGGAAAAGTAGAAAAGTATGATCTAACTGAAAGAAGTTAGTATTTTTATATATATTTTAAAAACACCTAAAATTCTTCAATGAAAGAAAGAGTGGTTATATTTTTAATTTTTTGAGGAACCTCCATACTGTTTTCCATAGTGGCTGTACCAACTTACATTCCCATCCACAGTATATTAGTGTTCCCTTCCCTTTACATCCTTGCTAACACTTGCATCTCTTGTGTTTTGACAATAGCCATCCTAACAGGTGTGAGGTGATCTCTCATTGTGGTTTTGATTTGCACCTCTCTGATGATTAGTGCTATTGAGCACCTTTTCATGTGCCTGTTGGCCATTTGTAGGTCTTATTTGGAAAAATATCTTTTCAGGGCCTTTGCCCATTTTAAAATCAGATTTTATTGTTGTTCAGTTGTGGAGTTCCTTACATATTTTAGGTATTACCCCCTTATCAGATATAGAGTTTGCAAATATTTCTCCCATTCTGTAAGTTGCCCTTTCTTTTCGTTATTTCCTTTGTTGAGAAGAAGGTTTTTAGTTTGAAGTAGTCCTGCTTATTTATTTTTGCTTTTCTTGCCCGTGTTTTTGGTGTTATATCAAAAAAGTCATCACCAAGACCAATATCAAAGAGATTTCCCATTTTCTTCCAAGAGTTTTACGGTTTTTGATGTTACATTTAGTCTCTAATCCACTTCCACTTAATTTCTGTGAGGGGAAAAATAGGGGTCCAGTTTCATTCTTTGGCATGTACAACTATTATATGATCCTCCCGCTTCTGGGTATGTATCCAAAATCAGTATCTCAAAGAGATTATCTACACTTTCATGTCTATTGCAGCATTGCTCACAATAGCCAAGCTAGGGAAATAATTGAAGTGCCCAGTGGATGGAGAAATGGATAAAAAATTGTGAAATACACACACACACACACACACACACACACACACACACACAGAAGGAGAGAGAGAGGGAGAGAGAGGGGGAGAGAGAGGGGGACAGAGAGGGGGAGAGAGAGATGGAGAGAGAGAGAGGGAGAGAGGAATATTATTCAGACATTAACAAAAAAGGAAACCCTTCCATTTGCAACAACATGGATGAACATGGAGACTATTATGCTAAGTAAAATAAGCCAGATAGGAAAGATACATACGGTACAATCTCACTTATATATGGAATCTAAAAAAAACAAACACAAAGTTGAGCTCACAGAAAGGTGGTTACCAAGGGGTGGGAAATGGATAGGTGTTGGTCAATGAGTACAAATTTTCAGTTAGAAAACGAATAAATTCTGAGGATCTAATGTACAGCATAGTACCTATGGTTAATAATAATGTATTGCATATCTGGAATTTGGTAGCAGAGTAGATAAATGTTCTTACCACACAGAAAAGAAGGTAACTATGTGGAGGTGATTGATACACTAATTAATTGCGGTAATCATTTCATATTGTATACCTATGTTAAGTCACATTATACACTTTATTTTTTTTTAATGTTTTTTTTATTTATTTCTAGGAGAGAGAGAGAGACAGCATGAGCAGGGGAGGGTCCGAGAGAGAGGGAGTCACAGACTGAAACCGGCTTCAGGCTCTGAGCTGGCAGTCAGCACAGAGCCCGATGCGGGGCTCGAACCCATGAACCACGAGATCATGACCTGAGCGAAAGTCGGACTCTTAACCGACTAAGCCACCCAGGCGCCCCAATATACACTTTAAATATATAAGATTTATTTATTAGTTACATCTCAAATAAAGCTGGGGCATGGGGAAAGAAAGGGTAAGAAACCTAGATTGTTAAATAGGCTTTCATTTACATAGAAAAATTAGAATGTTTCCAAATTTATATTTTTCAACACTGTACTTAGAAAATACTTATTTGAGTGCCCTGTGTAATCTAGATCTACTCCTTTTTTTTTTTTTAAATGGTTACCAGTAAGATAGGCCCACAGAGCAACCCCTCAAAAAATAGGCTGATTACCAGGATTGTGATTTCGACCTGTCATTAGCTTCAGGGCATCAGAGTGGGGTTTTCATAAAGGGTTTGGGAGGAAATTGAGGGTTAATAAGGAATGTGGGAAGCTCGAATTAGTGTTCATTAATGACCAGGGAGAAACAGAACTCAGGAAATAATGAGGCCCAAGAGAAATGATAGTAAAGCAGGCAAAAATACTGGTGGCTGTGTGAAGATTTCAGTTATTAGAGATCCCTGGAAGAAAACAAGAGATGTTTCAGAAATTGATACATTTAACCATGAGACATTAAAAAAAAAAAAAACAGCCAGTTTTCATTCTGGCACATGTAAAAAAATACAAACCTTTTCTGGCAGAGTTTTGAACATAATCAGCACTTCAGAAGGATGGGGTATGAACCATAAATTGAGGAAGACTTTCCCGTCAGCAGACAGCAAACATCTTGGCCGGGGCTGAAAACTCCTGCAGCATTATAAGAAAGTTTGGGTAGGCACAGCATTTCTCTCTAAAAAGGAGGTGGCCCCAATGTGAACTATTTTTACCACCGCCCTTCAGCCGCAGCGCCAGAGTCCGGATTGTGGTGACACACGAGCCGGGCCTCAGAGCCTGGGCCAGCAGGCCCCCCCTTCCAGGCCGCTCACAGGTGGCCCTGGCTATAAATAACTGTGGAGAAGAGCAGTGGGGCTGCTTTTAGCCTCAGCTGTGTTGGCGGAAGGAGTGGGCACAGACCCAGGGAGAGGTGAGGTAAGAGAGCAAAGGGAGAACGTGAATTAGGTGGCTAACGCCATTCTAGGCACTACATGTTTTCTCACTTAATTCTTATGACAGCCTCGGAATGTACCTATTTCGTTCCTTTACAGATGAGGAAACGGAGTCCCTATGAGATCTTGCCTGTCCAGCTCCTAAGAGATGAAGTTGGGGATTTAAATGCAGATCTGTCCAGTTCTAGAATCCAGGCTCTAGAGACCAGCCTGTATTTTCCTTCCGAGCCTGTCATCTTTTTTTGGCCAGGTCCTCCAGACTCTGGCCTTCTTTTCCTTCTTTCTCCTCTGTGCTCCCCTCTTCCTCCAAATACCTTAGGCAGCAGTATAGCTGTCTCTTTGTTGCAGGTTTATGGACAAACCCATAATCCACATATGTCTGGTTTAAGAATTCATACAAGTTCAGCTCCCTACCACCTGGCCTGAGGAATAGAATGTCGCCAGCTCCTCTGATGGCCCTGGGAGAAACCACCATCCTGAATTCTACATTAATCAATGTTAGTTTTTCCTTGCAGTTTTATCACAAGTGGGTGAACCATTAAAAGATTATTTTGTTGGGTTTTCTCTGGTTTTGACCTTCACACCAATGGAAGCTCATGATCTTTCTATTATGCCCACTGGAGGAAGGCGGCATCTTGGCCTGGTTTCTATATCGTCTCAGGACTGAAGTGGCCCACTGTAACAGAGGGTGGGGTGAAGGGGCGTTTTCCCATTTGAATGGATTCGATGCCTTTAAGTCTAATTGTGTTCATCTGGTGTGATAATGGTGCTATTTGCAGTTAACAGGTGTGGGTTCTGGCATCAGAGGACTCCATTTTGAAACCAACTTCCATCACCCACAGCTGTGTGGCCTTAGATGCATTACCATCTGAGTCTTTTCACATATAAAATGGGGATAATGATTCCTAACTCACAGGATTGGTATAAGAAATAAATTTTTTAAGTACCACATACCAAAAAATAAAATTAAAATAAAAATGAGCACCAAGCATGTGAAAAGTATTTTATAAATTGTGAGGTACTATACAAAGTTTGTTACTGTAATACTAAGGTGAGGGTATCTAGCAGAGTGGCCAAGGCTGGGTGGGGAGCAAGGGATGCTTGTGGCCCAGTAGAGAGATCTGAAGGAACCTTCAGGGTTATTTGTTAAGAAGTGGGAACCTGTAGGGGTGCCTGAGTGGCTCACTCACTTAAGCGTCCGACTTCGGCTCAGGTCCTGATCTCATGGTTCATGGGATCGAACCCCACTTCAGGCTCTGTGCTGATAGCTCGGAGCCTGAAGCCTGCTTGGAATTCTGTGTCTCCCTCTCTCTGCCTGTCCCCTGCTTACACTCTGCCTCTCAAAAGTGAATAAACATTAAAAAAAAAAAAAAAAAGGAAGTGGGAACCTGTACATGCTAATGAAAGGATGTCATAGAACTGAGGGTTACAGGGAAAGGCCAAGACTAGTGCCACCTCAGGCCTGTCTTGGTTATGCTAGACAAGGCAGGCCTCACAGATAGACAGACAGTGACAGGAGGTGTGCAGTGGGCGTGGAGCCCCCACCCTCACATCATCCCCTGCCCAGGGCACCTGGGGTCCACCTGAGCCCTCTGCTCTGCCCACTCTCCCCCTCGTCCTGGACAGCTGTGTTCACTCTTCTGGCTGCAACCACCATCCATTCGGCAGTGACAGCTGACTCCACGTTTGCACACCAGGCCCCCTCCACAGCTCCAGGCTTCCAACTTGCTTCCTCTTGGCTGGCAGTGCTTCACATCATCTCAGTCAAAAACGGCAAGAACTGAACTCCTTACCCTCTTCCACCCCAATCCTGTGCCTCCTCCCATGTTAAAAGAAACACAACCCTCAAATCCCGAAAACCAGAAATCAGGGAGTCATTTTTAGACCCTCCTTTCTCCTTTACTCCTCAGGTCCTACTGATTCCATTATTCCCTCATACTTGCACCTGGTTTTCATTCCCACTTCCACTGTTGATAGTGGGGACTCTCAGTGGGAGGGTCTCACCTTCTATGGGCATTCTGGAAATCATAGTGGGGGTTTTTGGCTCCTGTTACTGTTTCTGGGTCTCTGGGAGAGATTCAGATGGCTCTTTCCACTTACTGAAGTAAAATGTAATTCATTTTAACTGAGAGCTGAGTGTTTTCAATATCAAACATTCTGAGTATGAGACTTTTAAAATCATTAAAACTCTACATGAGGGGAATCATTGGCTTTAAACCTACCTTTCAAGTCTCATGGTTTTAATCAAGTGATTTGAAGCTCGGGAACAAAGGATGGTGTTAGTTTGGAGAATTTCCTTTATTTCAGTAACCACAAAGTCAGACTATCCTGTCCTACAGCAGATCAAAGCCGGTGTAATCCAGTCTTAACACTATTGTTCAGTTCACAGTGTCCAAAGGTGCTCCAAAGAAACATGGATTATCAACAATAGAAAGTTACCAGGCCTGCAGCTGAACACATGAGGTTGCAGGCTAAGGAGCTGGTGGCAGCAGCGTGACTGAACCAGACTTTGGCCTCTGAGGAGAACATACATTCCAGGAGCTGCAGAGCCCTCTACCAAGTGTTACCCTCTATTTCTCATCCATTATTTCCTTCCACTTCCACCCCTGCCTGCAGCTGAGGAAGGGCAGAGAGAATAGCAGAAAGCTTCGGGTGCAAAGTGCAGTTTACCTGCTTCTCAGCCCTATGATGAGTATTCCTCCCCTTCCTTGTGGATGACTCATCAACCCCCCAGCCTGCCAGTTCCTTGACCTGCTCAATATCATCCCCCTTAAACTTAATTCCCCTTTAGCCACTCGCTCTGGGGCCACATTCCAGAACTTGTCAGTACCTGGGACCACATCACCTCCAAAGACTTAAACTCCACATCCAGGTTTCCCATCTCAACTCTTTATTCCTGTTTTCTCACCCGCTAACTCCAAATAAACCTCCTTTATCCGCACAACATATGCTCCTTGATGTCATCCAGCCCTCTGGGCCTTCCCTCAGCCCTTCCATCTGTCAGTTCCATTCTGAATTTATTCTCTTCCCTGCCCAGACCAGGTCTTGCCATCAAGCACAGGAACCTTCTAGTCTCTGCTTCTTTGTACTCACTACCCAGCTACCTCACAAAACCGCAACTCTGAATCCCTCCAGCTATTATGCTTTCCATTTCTAGTTGCATGTCGCTGAACACAGCTGGAGGAGATCATACCACTAACTGCACTGATGCAACAAGTAAATGGTTTCCAGCCTGAGCAGTGTCACCCCAGGACAACCCTTATTCTTTCCTTTGATCAGCTTTCATGCCCATTTCCTTTTCTAATAATTCCAAGTCTTCTTTCAGGCTCATACCAAACTCCTGCCAGCAGATGATGACAAGGTCTGTTATTACATAATTGAATTAAAGGCTACTGGCTGGAACTCCCCCTACTTCCTATGGGCCCTTTTCTACTCCCATCCTTCCTTTCAATCAAGGTCAAAGGCAGAGGTACACACCTGGGATATGAAATGAAGGTGGTCACTGCCCTCAAGGTTCTTATATTTCGGAGGCAGCTATATATGCAAGCATGACTTATGATAGAAGCATGATGTAACTGAAGTACGCTTGGCCCTTAAACAACACAGGGGTTAGGGGTTCTGACCCACCTCCAAGGTGAAAATCTGTGTACAACTTTGCTCAAAAACTTAACTAATAATAGCCTATTATTGAACAGAAACCTCACTGGTACATCAACAATCAACACATATGTTGTATATCATATGTATTATACACTACATTTATTTTATAATAAAAGAAGCTAAAGAAAAATGTTATTAAGGAAATCATAGAAGAGAAAATACACTTATAGTACTCTAATATATTTATTAACAAATCCACATATAAGTGGACCCTTGCATTCAAACTTGTGTTGTTCAAGGGTCAACTGTACATGAAAGTGCAGTGAACATCCAGAAGAGGAAGCATCTGAGACTCTAGTGGGAGATTATTAGACAAAATTCACAGCTGAGGCTTCTGAGCTGTGATTCATCATTTCCCTCTCCACTTTCTTCTTAATGGCACTGTTATTTTTCCCCATTTAAAGGAACTGTGGTAAAATAGACATAACATAAAACTGATCATCTTAACCATTTTTAAGCGCACAGTTCAGTGGCATTAAGTACATTCACATTGCTGTGCCACCATCATCACCATCATCTTCAGAACTGTTTTCCATCCTCAAAATGGCAATTCTGTACCAATTGATAATTGTACTGCTATCTTTTTTTTTTTTTTTTAACCCAAGCCAGAGAGACTCTGGGTGACACCCTAGATTCCTCCTTTTCCCTTAGATTCCCTTTAAATCCAGCACCTGGCCAACTGATTTCACCTTCTACACATCTCCTATGTACAGTGTCAGTAGCTTGCTTTCCTTTTTCCTGTTGTTGAATGACAAACACCGGAATTCTGGATCTTGCCCAATGTTATGCACATTTTACTTCCCATTGCTCATCCTCCTATACCCTGGGTGGGACCACTCAAGAGCCCAGGTGCCATTCCACATCTCTGTGCTGTCTCCCAGTTTGAACTGAAGTTCTTTTCCTTGTCCATCTGAAACACCAACCATCCCTGAAGACCCAAGTTTAGCTTCCCCTTTTCCCTGCAGCATGCCCTGCTCCCCATCCCCACTTCCTCAATCCTTTAGATAATATGGATAACATTTCCTAGTGGGTACTTTCATT